CAATTTTTCTAATAATCCCTATAGCTTTTGGGTAATTTTGTATAGTGCAAGAATTTCTAGGAACAAATATGTTGTATTATAGTAAAACTAAATACAAACTTCCATCTGACACAATCCAGAGTTAGAAAATTTCAGCTAACAGATGCAGCTCACCTACTGTAACAGAGTCTAAAAAAAGAATTTGAAGTGACATCATAATTTTATACCAAAAAAGAAAAATATTTATATGTTAAAGAATATATAAGCTGGGCACAGTGCAATTTTGGGAGGCCAAGGCGAGCAGATTGCTTAAGCCCAGGAGTTCAAGACCAGTCTGGGCAACACAGCAAAAACTTGACTCTTAAAAAAAATAAAAAATAAAAAAGTAGTCAGGCATGGTAGGGTGTGCCTATAGTCCTAGCTACTTGGGATATTGAGGTGGAAGAATCGCGGTCAAGGCTGTCATGCGCCATGATCATCATGATCACGCCACTGTACTCCAGCCTGAGTGACAAAGTGAAATCTAGATGAGAGAGAGAGAGAGAGAGAGAGAGAGAGAATATAATACACAACTTATATAAAATGTTGATTTTTTTGGATAATGTATTTTTCAGTTTTAGAACTTCCATCTGATTTTTTTAATAGCTTCTGTTTCCCTGCTGACATTTCTTATCTTTTCATTCATTGTGAGCATATTGTCCTTTAGATCACTGGCCATATTGGTGTTTCAAAATGTTTGCTTGAAAATTCCAATATCTAGATCATCTGTATTGACTTTTTCCTTTAAAAATGATTACATTTTCATCACCATCTTCTTTTTAATCATGGTTAAATAAACAAATGTTACCATTTTAACCATTTCTAAGAGTACAGTTCAGTGGCATTAAGTATTTTCACAATATTGTACGACCATTACCATCTTCCCAAACTGAAATCTATAATCATTAAACAATTCCCCATCCTGGTTCTTATGTTTAATAAATTTGGACTGTATCTTAGACATTATGAATATATTATATAGACCTTGGACATTGCTAATCTCTTTGAATGAGTATTAGATTTTTGTTTTAGCAGGCAATTAGCTAGGTAGGATTCTAAGTATAAACTCTGTCTCTTGGGTATACCTCAAATTTCAGTTTAGCTCTTTCATTCTCAGTTGTGCTGCTCTAAATTCACCCTGCACAAGTGCGGTTCAGAAGCACCAGAAACTTGGGCAGTGTTATTCATGGATTTTGAGGATTCCCCTACTCTGGCTCTCTCTTTTATAGAATTCCTCCTTAGCTTTCCAATGTCTATAGTTTTCCTGAACTCTGCCCTCTAGTTCCTAAAGCAAGAAGGACTCTGGATTTCCTTTTACAATTTTAGCAGCTGTCCATATGCCAACCTCAGCCTGTTCTCAGGAAAAGAGCCACAAACACAGGAAAAATAATTCTGTGCCACTCCCTTCCTCCAAGTTTGAATTCCCCTCCAGAATCCACTTGTTTGTTTTTTCTCCTACTCTTCTGAGTCTCCAGATAGTTGTTTTTTTATATTTTTCCAGAGATTCTAGTTGTTTTCTATATACGGTCAAGTACAGACTGAAAGCAGACTGAAAACTAATTTTTAGATTCTTTTTTATATCAGGTCAACATTTTGAGGTAGTAAATAAGAATATCATTGAATTATTGTTTTTCCATTAATCTCCTATAATTTCTAAGATATATTCTAATTTTTCTTACTTTATATTTTTATGGGTTTAGGAGTACAAATGCAGTTGTGTTACATGAATAAATTGCACAGTGGTGAAGTCTGGATTTTTAGTGTACCCATCACCTGCATAGTAGTGTACATTGTACCCAAAAGGTAGCATTTCATCCTTCACTTCACCTCCCACCTTCACACCTTTTAAAGTCTCCAATGTCTATTCTTCCACTCTGTATGTTCCTGTGTACCCATTGTTTAGCTCCCACTTATAAATAAAAGCATGTGGTTTTTTACTGTTTCCGAGTTATTTCACTACCAATAATGGTGTCTACATCCATCCATATTACTTCCAATTATTTTTTAAGCAACAAATAAATACAAGTGCTATATCTCATAAAAATCAACGTTCTCTATAACTGAATAATTCAATAAAAATTCAGGAAATGCTCACTGAAGTATCTACAACACAGGGAATTCAGGTCTTCAAATAAGTATCAGGACGTCATGGCAAACCAGGCTCTGAACATTGTGGTCTAGTCTCACTAGTTTAGTTTTAAATATGGTTAAAATAAATAAGTAGAGAAAACAATTTTTTACATTTTGGTCAAAGCAATCATTTTAGTTTCTGACTCATGTCCAATGGATTATGAACCACACAACTTAAAAAATACTATCAAGTCAATGATGCTTAAAACCATTCTTAATTTTCATTCATGAATTCTCTCAATCTCTTCTTGAGAAATAAGAAATATTGAACAACAGAGTACAACCCCATGGGACACTTTATTCACCTACTTTTATATTTAATCATTTAAAAACAATGAGCTACATGAAATCTGGGTTTTTTCCAAATCTCCATGTTTTCAACACGGGGTGGTTAAGCCTACTATGGCAATCTAAAAGTATCATTCTAAAATATACAACAAAACACTTTAGAAGCTGAGTTCCAAAACTTTGATTAATAAATTTTTTTTTTTTTGAGTTGGAGTCTCACTCTGTCGCCCAGACTGGAATGCAGTGGCCGCTCCTGGTCACCGCAGCCTCGACCTGCTGGACTTCGGCGATCCTTCCGCCTCAGCCTTCCAAGTAGCCAGAATTACAGGCATGCGCTACCGTGCCTGGCTGATTTTTTGATTTATTGTAGAGATGAGGTCTCGCTGCCCAGGCAGATCTCAAACCCACGGGCTCAGGCAATCCACTCACCTCAGCCTCCCAAAGGCACAGGGCTACAGGCTGAGCCACCGAACCCAGCTCATTAATACATTTCAAGAAAAAAAAAAACTGAATGCAAACTATGTTGTCTTCAGATTCAATGGATAAAATACATGGAGCACATTACAATTTCTAAATAAAGATAATTACATTCCATTATTGGTTACTTATAGCTACAAAGAAAAGAACCAAACATAGACCCTTTATTCAGTTTGGTTAAGTCTTTATTAACATGCTATTTCTGTATTAATTCTCTTTTATAATAATCTATAACCTAGGTATATTTAGAGTAGCTAAACCAGTCAGAAAATCATAATACCCTGGGTATTATATTGACCTTCAACCTGCCACACAGATTTAGTGAACAAAGAGTTCAACAAAAACCCTGTCTATAAATAAAAGCAAAGCTCAATAGCAAAATAGTCTTCTTCCCTCTACTCAGTTTTTAAAAAGTATCTCAATGTTTGAATAAATCTACAAGACACTTAGTAATGATTAACAGATTCCTTTTAAAGGTGGCTTAAAATGTAAAGTAAAATCTAAATCATGAAAATATGCTCCATTATTTGCAATTATCTGGTTATAAATCTTGCACATCAATCAGCAAAAGCCAAAATAATACTACTCATATCACAGTTAGGTATAAAGACAATCCCAAAACATACAGATGAATCTGAGGAATCAACCTGAAGACTCTGAATGGCAAGCATTAGATCACTAGAGAATGAATGTGGCCTATGGGCTGGCAGAAAAGGCAGACAGAAAGAGAGACACACACAGAGAGATAAACAGAGAAGAAAATGACAGACATAGACACTGAATTGCACTAAGGGGTAGGGTGTAAAGGGAAGAAGGGTGTCAGAGATGTATCCAGGGAGAGAGAGTTTTGGTGGGGGAAAATATGCAAAGACAGTGGGGAAACAGAGAAAAAAATCACAAAGGCAAAAGTAAGACTCAGAGAGAAAAGGAAAATTGGAGAGAAATAGATAGGACAGAGAGCAAAAAGTTCACCCAAGGCTCAACTGCAAAAAATCAAGAATCCTCTTCCAGTCATACTAAATAAGCAAGTCCTCCACCCATGGAGAACAGCAATTCAGATATAGGAAAAATACCTGTTTTATACATAGAAGCAAAAATGATTCCTCTTACCAATGACTGTTTAAAGAGTCAACAGACTTAAAAAATGGATATTCTCAAATGCAAATCCAGTAAATTATACCAACATTTAAAAGTTTCCCTTTTACCTGTAAGACAGAGCCCATATTACTTAGCAGAGCACACAAGCCATTCAATATATTCAAACTATCAAATATCTTAATCCATCTGGGCTGATACAACAAAATACCACAAATTGGGAAGCTTATTAACAACAGAAATGTATTTCTCACAGTTCTGGAGGCTGGGAAGTCCAATATCAAGGTGCCTGGAGATTTGGTGTCTGGTGAACACCCACTTGCTAGCTCATACATGGCACCTTCTCACTGTGTCCTCACATGGTAGGAGAGGCAATCTAGCTCTCAGAGTGTGTCTTTTACAAGAGCATAAAGTACATTCATAAGGGCTTCACCCTCATCACCTTATCACCTTCCAAAGGCCTCACCCTCTTAATGCCACTGGTCATCAAGTTTCAACATATGAAATTTGGCAGACATAAACATTCAAACCATAGCACCTACCATTCCAGACACACCTTTAAAAGTTTCCTAAAAACACCATTCTATGTCATTACTCAACTCAGACCCTATGCTCTCCTCTTTCCTTATTCTATACAGTAAACCACTCCTTACAAGTCCTTGGTCAAGAATCCTGTCCTTTATAAAACTTTCTCTGACCTCTCATCTTCTACTTCAGACTTGAATAATATTATGCTATAATTCCGCTGTATCTCAATACTTCGATTACAGCACTTACAACATATTATTTCATTTTTAAAAATCTGTTTTTCTCCCCTGCTAGGCTTTACACTACTACTGTTTAACACAGAACCTGAAACAAATAGGTACCTAGGAATTGCTAAATGGTCAGACCAATGCACAACAGACCTCAGTTGCTTAACAGAGTACATAAGCTACTCAAGTGAATAGGAAAGTACATGTCAGATAGGTTGACCAAGGATTGCTTCTTACCTGTTTGGAGTTGGTTAAATACAACTTTGCTCCCAGATTTAATATTTGCAGTTTTACCAGATCATCTTCACTAGTGAAGCTTTTAGCCATCTTCCTCAAAACATCAGGGGCAATTTTAGGAACCCGTTCACAATTTTCTCCTATTAGCCAAAGAATACTTGCTCTAGCCACAGGAACCTGTGAGAAGCAGATTACATAGTTAGAAATAAAATTATCATACTTTCCTTAATATTAACATAGAAAAGATTTTAAACATTATAATGGTTTTACATGTATTAATTCAATAAATACATAGCCAGGAAGTACTCCTGTATTTAAGGATCTTCTTCAGTTATCAAAAAATAAACACATGGAAACTTTCAGTAAAACTGACCTCAGAGTGAAAAACCATTGGTCTGGAATCTAGATTCTATCAGACTGGTAAATTCTTGGACCAAGACTGGTTGACCACGCCATTTGTTTCATTATTGTCTGTTGTTGCTTTTGTACTATAATGGCAGAAGTGAGTAGCTGCAATGAGACCATAAGGTCCTTAAAGCTGAAAAGTATCACTATCTAGCAATGTATACAAAAGGTTTGCTGAAACCTGCTCTATAGCAACAGTTCTCAAACCTTAATGCCCATAAAAATCATCCACAGTTATTAATAAAAAGGCAGGTTTCTAGTATCAGTTCTAAGATAGTATTTCTGTGGTGGGACCCAGGAATCTATGTTTCAAGAAACATCAAAGATGAATTTTGAAATAAGTGGTCCACAAAGTTCACCTAAGAACCCATGGATAGTATAGGAAAAAACCAGATTCATTAAAGACTATGATTCCAAATCAAAATCGTTATTGTTCTCTATGTATTTGCATCTACAGTACTGAAAATACATCAAACTGACAAGATCATCAAGGTCTGCTGATAAAATCATGAATCCTGGTCTGTTATTTGGTCAACAAAAGAAATAGAGGTAAGATAAATTTGTCCAATATTGCATTTTGGCACTATAGTTTTTCAATAAAATACATTTCAATATAAGTTTTTTTTAAAGACATTACTGTGCTACAAATTGGAAACCTTCCATCAGTACCATTAAGACCAACATTTTGAGTATGCAAATTAATTTTATTACTATTTGTTTATTTTTATCCTCCTCATTCCAAAAGGAATTTGAGAGGGTATGTAAATTAGTTTCTGTGAGCATTTTCAACTTGAATAGAAAATGTGCTTTTTATAATAAATGGAAGGCAGAAGGCTACCATTAAAAAGTGTATCACAAGAAAAGATAACACTTTTTATGAAGTCCTTTAATAATTTCTCAAATAAAATCTTAATATTTTCTGCGTAGTTTCACAGCTATACACAGTATGATTTTTAAAGAAAGTGAGAATTAGGGCTGTCCCACAGCTAGCATTTTATCACAAAACCTACCATCTCAAGTTCTTTCAAAAGAAAGAATATATTTTATGAAATAATATATTTTATGAAATAATATAAAAATACTGATACCCCCAAGTTAAGTCTTTCACCAGAATCAGAATGAGATAAAAAGCTTTAAAATAAAAAGTATACACTTGTGAATATTACAAAAGAATCATTTAAAAATTAGTATTGAATGTAAGTTTAGTAAGACAGAAAAAAATCAGTGTATTTATGTAATAAAGAAAAGGTCTATGTGCTATTACAAATCTCTTCATACAACGTGATAAAATTGATACCCTTACTGTATTGCTGATTTCTGGAAAGAAAGAGGTTATTTCTAATGTTCCAAAGGTTACACTGCATTAAGACTTTACTCCTGATTTATTATTTTAAATTGGGCTAAAGAATAGTAATTGAGTGGTACATTAAATTTTCCAGAATAGAGCTACTCAAGTTGCCTGCCACAATGAAAGGTATTTCTAAATAAGAATTTATGTGAAACTTCAGATTTCAGTTATGCTAGATTTATTTTTCTTAAATATTTTATTATATGCTGCTGGTATAAAAATTACAATTCTATGACATACCACAATTACTCCATTTTAAGCAATTTTCTTCTGGTAACAACACTCTTTTTCTATTAAAAAGACAACCCCAAAAAGAAGATTTTAAGAGACTGTTTATATTCGTGAATATACTAAGATTAAAATAAAAATATGTGACTATGCAGCCAGGCATGGTGGCTCATGCCTGTAATCTCAGCCCTTTGGAAGACTGAGGCAGGAGGATTGCTTGAGTCCAGGAGTTCGACACCAGCCTAGGCAACAAAGTGAGACCCCGTCTCTACAAAAAAATAAAAACATTAGCTGGATGTGATGGTGCATGCCTGTAGTAGCAGGTACTAGGAGGCTGAGGCAGAAGGATCACCTGAGTCCAGGAGGTCAAGGCTGCAATAAGTCATGATTGTGCTACTGCACTCTAGCCTAGGTGAGAGTGAGACATTGACTCAAAAATTTTAAAAATGTGAATACTGTAAACATTCATAATATATACATTTAAAATACAATTCTTTGAAAAAATTAAAAATCAATAAATCTTAATAAAATGAAAATCTCAAGGTGGTGGTGGTAAGGATAAGATTTAGAGTTCTATAAAACTGAGCTCATAAAATCCACAAATAAGCATTTTTAAAACTTAGAAAACTTCACCACAATAAGAAATAATATAAATATAAATATACTGATATCAAACTTTGGTAAAAAAAGTCAAAATTTTTGTGCATTTGGCTAGAATCAATTCTAAGATTTTCAGATTTCAGCCCTCCCTCTGTCTCCCAATTAAGCTAATAGGACTCTCATTTATATACCATGGATACTATGAATCCATAACCACTACTTTCAACAATTTGAAAACCAAAAAAAGCACAAGTAAGAAAATTAGTCACCTTTTGTTCTCTATAGTCTTTTCAACCACAGAATAAATTAGAAACATTGAACTAAAACCAAACTCATAATACCCACACACAGATACACATACACACACACACACACACACACACACACACACACACGGTCATATATATGATATAATGTTTTCATTATGACCCTCTGCTTTTCAGTATTCTCAAAGACAAACTAGTTGCAAATGGCTTTGCTTCTCAATGCCCTGAGCAAGGGTACTTTTCAATCCTTCTACTAAAAGGCAGTTTCCACACCATTTTAACCCATTAATTTGCCAGCAAAAGTACATAATGATTCTAGCACACCATGGCAGTTATAGAAAGACTTCAAGAAAGAATTTACTGATCACTGTTTAAGCAGTTCAATTTAAGAGCTACTGTGTTTCAACACCAGCTCACTGCACAGTTCAATAGTCTAAAGTAAGTTCTACAAAAACATCAGCTTTATTTGTTTATATTTATCAAAGGCAAAAATCAGTAGACAACTGAGCAAAATACATACCAACAGCAAACCAGATCTACTATTCCGTACCTGGACTCAATATGCATTAAAAGCTCAGCCTGGATTGTAGTCTTGAATAAAGTCTTTGTCTTTAAAAAAAAAAAAATCTTAGCCTGGCAGAGCAAGGGTAGGTAACTTGTAAAATGGCGGGCATTCAATGAACACCTGAGCAAGGAATTTATAAAGTGCTATTTCAAAGTACTCATTAGTCTTCACGGAATAACAGCTTTCAATTGTTTGTTTATAATATGAAATCTTCACCTGTTCCAATAAACAATATGTAAAATCCTGTTATACATCCTCATGGAAGTTTGCGTTTTATTCTGGAAGAACTTTACTCTAAACCCAGTATTTAATCCAAATGAAGGGCATGCCAAAGAATAAAATATCTATGATCAGAACATGTAAGCTGACTGTACTATAGAGATAAATTTATTTAATTTGACTGAATTCACAGAGTAGAATAAACTTAAATTTTGATTTTGAACTACAACACTTACAAAATAACCAATAAAATCAAAGTCTTGAATATGATAAACTCTGTTCTCTTTTTAAAACAAATTACACAGCTAGTATCTATTGAGCTCCTACTACATGCCAGGCACTGTTTTGAGAACTTTAGTATTTTCGCAATCATCACCAAAGCCCTATGAAATAGGCTCTACCATTATCTGCACTTGATATAGGAGGAAACTGGGATAAGACAGAGATTAAGAAATGTACCCACACCTGTCAATAGTGGAACCAGGATCAGAACTCCAAGTCCAAAACCAGAATTCACATTAGATCACTGGGCAGAGACAAAATGAGTGTGGTAAATTAGGAGGTACATAGGCCAGCAAGCCAGTAAGACAGGTTCTGATCCCAGATTGTATATCAAGTAGGCAAATAACTTTACCTCAGTGACGTTTATTTATTAACCAAATGGAGAACTATCCCTTGTCCCCATTCTTCTGTCACACTGGGAAAAAGTTCCTTTACTGACTCTTGCTGCTTCCTCAAAAGTGGGACTTTTCAGGATATATCCAGAACATCCTCTTGCCTAGTCCACACCATGCATAGTGGCGCATTTTCCTACTTCCTTTTACCTTCTGTTTTATGGATAGGTGAGGTGGCCAGGGTGGGAAGAGATCTGGCTATCACTTCTTGGCTCCCTCCTCCCAGAACATAGAGGGACCCAGGATCGGACCCTCTATGTCAGGCACTGAGAGAAAACAGTTGTTCCCTTGTCCTCTGACACTGGTCAGATTGGCTTTTCCTTAGGTTTGAGAGCGAAATGGGTAGAGATTCAGGAGGACAGAGGTCTCATTTCAGGTTCCTATTTTAAGTCTCACATTTTAGAGCCACTTGCCTATACTTAGAAGGGTATCAGGTGCTTGGTGAGATTAATAAAGAATTGATTTCGTTTCCTCTTGGCTACTGTTCTTGTGTGAATACCTCTCTCAACTGTAGGAAGCAGAGACTCTGGAGATTTAGTCACTCATTCCTCTTTCCTGACTTTGAAGTTAATGTCTGCTATGTCCCTCACCACTTACTTCTGGGGTAATCTGTACCTCCAATCCTAATTGCCTTGTTTCTTACTTCCTTGTCTCTGTTACATGAATAGTAACAACTTTTTCTTCATATCCAAATACATTCTTGATTTTCCTGAAAATGTTCAATGGATACACCAATAGTGGATATTATCTGTTCAAGAAATATAAGGTCTTAGCTATATTAATTAAATCAGCTATTATTCTATTGTTTATCTCCTTACTTATATCTGTCTATTAGGAATGTCTAATATGAGAGCAGATATTTAAAAGTCACC